ATCTTCGCTGTCGTTGCTCCCGTCCTGCTCCACAGCGACGTTTGGTTCGACGTCCGCCATTCCTGCTGTCGCAATGGCGGTGGCCTTGACCCATCGCATCATCACCCGGTCGAAGACCATCTTCCCGACCCTGTCAGGCAATGCAGGAACATCGTTGGGTGTGATGCGCATGATCTGCTTCGGACCCTGATGTTTGACAAACGATGCCGCGCTCTCTGCTGTCACTGTGGTTCCTGAAGCGGTGCTGGATGAGACAAAACGTGTGAGGTCTGCATTGCGTCCGTCGCGTAGCGAAGATGATGGGTAGGCGGGAGCAGTGCCAGAGGGGGGCGCAAGAAGTCCGGGGTTAGGCTTGACGGGGGACGGTGCCACGGTCAATGCGGATGCAGATACGACCCTGACAGGGGGTACCGGGAACTGCGCAAGCACCTTGGAGGATTCAAGAGACATCCGAGTGAAGTCCTCTGTGAGATCTTTGGCCTCGTCGACAGCTATCCTCGGGCTGTGAGAGGACGACTGGGGGCTCGAAGGCACCTTCTCCGGTTGCTTTCCGCGCGCGATGCTCGACAAGCGGTTCGTGATGGCCGAGGTCCTGCGTATCTGAGCTTGCGAAGTAGACAGCTGGCGAGGTCGAGTCTGCAAAGCAAGATCTCCTCCACGAGAACGCAGAGATGGAACAGTAGCATCTGCGGAGACTAAGGATGTTTCAGAATTATCATTGTTGCGGACATGGGATGCTTCCGTGTCCGTCGAAAACAATCGTTTGGAGCCTTTCATATCGTTGCGGATCTGAGCCATGAGACTCAGTCCTTGTTGGCGGTACCCCAGGGATGAATACGCTGATTGTTTTCCGGACGACATTGTACCCGGTGGAGAGGGCCCTCTGCTGGAGCCATTGTCAGGGACAGCGAGAAAGGATGGTCGCGCTATGAGCAGAAATACGTGTCAGCCGAAAGGTTTACGATGCGCGGCGGATGTATACCTACGCAAAGGAGGCTCTTGTTCTTTCTCAGGATTTTCCGGACTCTCTTCGCGGTCCTCTGCAGGCGATCGTGCCGTCGCCACGGTGGAGACTGTGGAGAAATCGCGAGCCTTTCTAATTTGCTCCATGAGGTTCCTCGATTCACCAACGTAATCCTTGCGCGACAGCGGTCGCATAATGACAGCCGCACCATCCCCGTCCTCGCCGCTGAAGTCGCTCGCAGGGCTCAGCTTGATTCGTTTCGCGCTGCGCAACCGAGAGAAACTCGTCTCAGGGACGGGGGAGAGACCAGGTGTCGATCGTCGAGATCCTGGATCGCCTGTGGCACCTTCTCCAGAAGGCGTGTTGACAGCGATAGAATCGACCATGGCGGAGAGGTGATCGCGCGTGAATGTGTCGTACTGGAACTGGAAGAGGCGCAGACGAGGGTCCGTAGACGGAGGATTGAGGTGGCGTGCTGCCGCGCTTGGGCCAGGCGTGCTCTCAGCGTTGGGAATAGGTCCGGCGGGATTGAAGGGACTCGTACGAGGCACAGAGAAGGTGAACTGAGCGTTAGCTCCTTCGATCCGTAAGCCGTCATTCTCCTTATCACTTTCCTGACTGCGCCCATCGCAGTGGGAAGGTTTCGCTTCTTGTCCTTCATCGAGCGAAACGTCAGTTGACGGAAGATGAACCTGGGCAAGACGCGAGGGAATAGGTGGAGCAGCGCTGGCTCGAAGAGAGGGAGGTGGTAGAGATGTGGAAGGTTGTGGCGGGGACGGGGGCTCGAACATCTTCTCCAGAGCGAGAGGACTGAAGAAGTCCTTGACAACCGGCTTCTTGCTTCTTCCAGGGGTTTTGGGCAAGAGAGGGGCCTGTGGCACGTCTTCGCGAACGATGAACGTACCGGCGGAATCATCCGACTCGGAGGCGTTTGGTGTCGAGCAGATCTCGGCGTTGCGTGCCAAGACGGATCCGAGGGGCTGAGTGAGCGAGAGGTCCGACCCAGAATGTGCAGAGTCAACCGAGCGTTCATCATCTTGCCAGTCGACCCATTCTTCGACGTGGGCGAGCTCGTCGGTCAGCCATCCGGGCTTAGAGGTCATTTGCACGAAGAAAGACGATACTAGCAAGAGACGATGATGAAACGCAAGTGAGCAATAGAGCCACAGTCAACCAAGATTGGGATCAGAAGAGAAAAGCAGTTAGTGCAGCAAGAGCTTATACTTCCCTTCCCAACTGTGAGGCCGAGATTCAAGGTCCACATGTCAGTGTCAGAGGCGGTCGCACCGTGAGCCAACATGCACCGCGTCGTCCCACGTGACCGCGGCCACCTAGGCGCTAATGAATATTTGAATCCTCGCCCGCGCAGCCTTCGACTCAAACTCTCCGACGCATACCGCCGTGTTTATTGCCTATGGACGGAGGAACCTCTCCTCTCACAGATAGAACAGTGTGAACTGGGGAGCTGCCTGGTGGAAAACCCCTCCGACATCCTCCCATCATTCACCACACAAAGTTCCGTTGGATTCGTGTACTCTGCCGAATGGACATTCTCTGCAATTCCTCTGCATGGCTCTCGGGCTTGTTATGCGAGACGAAAAAGGACTTTCTCGTTGGGTGTTGTAATCACGGTCGGCGGGTGACATCAAATCGGCGCAACGCTCTGAACGACTGGCTCGTCCCAATACGCTGCTCACAGAATCTCCCATGTCGTTGCCAGTGACTTGCTGCTTCCACAACGTCAGATGTGTGTCGATACGATCTTCACTGTCCTTCCCTTATGTCCCAACGCAGTGGGATAGATTACGCATTAGTGTAGTGCGTACCAAAGGAATAGCCTGTAATCACTCTAAGCCGGTATAGCCAGCATACCCACTCGCGACTCTCCATTGCCTCAGCCAAGCAAAGTCCAACTCCTGCCGCTTCAGCGCGTTCTCTATCTTCTTGAGCGTCCAAGCCAGCCATCGCTTCTCCTTGTCCGCCGGCTTGCCGTGATCTTCGTCGCGGAGAGCCATCGAAGCCGGCTGCGTCCTTTCAAGCAGCTGCTGAAGAGACGGGACGAGCGCTCGCGCGACGGCATGAGATTCGTCCGTCGCGTGCTTGAAACAGGCTGTCATAACGAGTGCACTGCAGACAAGATCCGAAGAGACGGGTGGAAGGTTGTATACGCCAAAGAGGGCGGTGAGTGTGATGGTGTCTTGGAGAGGGTGTTCAAGGTGGAGAGAATGGAGGAGAGGGCGTGCGGCTTCAAGGGTCAGATCGAGGCCGTACTTGGAGTGGTCTCCAAAGACCTTGAGTGCCAGCTGTGGACAATGCAGCTCCTCACAGCGTCCTTGATTATCAGAGCGTGAGATGCCGAGCCGCCAGAGCAACATCATGAAGTGAAAGCCAAACTCACGAGCAAACTTTTCTGATGTTGTGGGTCGGAAGGACCTCCGAGCATCTCGCCATTTTGGGAATAGTTCTGTGACGCGCTCGAGTTGCTCAGGTGTGGTTGCAAGCGAAATGAGGTGATGCCATGCTGAGGTGCGGGGTTGACGAGCGGGCTCGGTCTTGTCTGCTATGCAGCTCTTCATAAACTGGTACAGTTCTTCAAAGCGGGCTCCTCGGTCGTATTCACGAGGTGCGGGGACCGAGGGATTGTGAGGAGGGATGTCTGTGGCCTTGGCTCCATCGACGTGTGAGGGCTTGGGAAGGGATGGTTTCTGTTGTGCGGTCTGTCCGAACAGATCTTCGGAAAAAAGCGTGTCCGACTCGTCCTCTCCAAAGAGATCATCCGCGTCAAGAGCAGCACCTTGCTGCTTTTTCTTGAGAGCTTTCCAAGGCAGGAGCCATGAGCTAGGAGTGGCGGTACGGGAAGAAATAAGTGGTACAGACCGACGGGAGTGGCGTGCACGGCGCGCACTCGCAAGAATGCACGGGAAGGCCACACGGGGTGCCCAACAAGCGGCGGCCGCAGAGCGCGCTGGAACGAGGCGAGGACATTGGCCATCATGCAGGTCAGCGAGAGGACGTCTGCACAGTACTGTACTTGATGGCGTTGCTGCAAAGCTCGATGTGTGCGAGCCCAAGGAGGGTGACGCTGAAGCTGTCGAACCGGGCTGTACGCGGCTTCCCACGATCGTAGTGCACAACACAGCAACGCACTCGGCGTGCTTCCTCGAACCCCAGCGTGCTTGTGGTCAGACAGCGGGATCTTGATCCAAAACATACATTTCTCGACATATGGACAGGAATAAGGTTCACATGAAGCCGCCTACGCGGGACACTTTGTCCATTTTTCATGGATGTCGATTAATGGTGATCCACACCAAATCTCAAGCTGGCGGTAGCATAAAAGCTCTGAGTACCAACTCACAGGCTACCTTCTGCGTGTTCATTGCTGTGTGATGCATGCTAGCAATCAGACGAAATCGCATCCAGGCGACACTGATCGTAGATGGGAGATGCTGCCCTGAAGGAACTCATACTCAGCGCGCGTCCGGCAGCTGTGATCACCAAGCTCTCCTGCGGTGTTGCAGTGCCCTGAGGAGCCCGAGTATTCACGGTTGTGTGACGTGCCTTTCCGGTCCTCTTCTTGTTGGAGGAAATGGACCTACGCGCAAGCCGTGCTCGGGCGCGGCGGGACCGCGCAGTGACCGAGTTCGGTCTTGTTTTTTGTTTTACATGTGTTATGTTCTTGTCAGTTGATTTCTTGTCTCTCAAGACGTCTCACGGCGTCTTGTCTACGATACGTCTTGTTCCCGTACTGTACTTATACGCGACGATTGCGCTCGCTCACCTCAGTCCTTGCGAATAGGAACTGAGGTGAGCTTACTTACTTATCTTTGCTATCGAGTTTTCTTACTGATTAGTACCGCTTAGATTATTGCCCTATAGGTACTTGTTATTACATCAGTCCTTGCGAATAGGAACTGAGATTATCGCTCTATACTTCTATAGATCATGCGATCGGAAGCCAGCAGAGGCTCGTGTGTATTGCCGATGAACCAACCAAGTGCCTCAAACATCGTACCTATCAAAAATGCACAAAACATGATGAGAGTGGGATTCGAACCCACGCCCTTTCGGACCAGATTCCGACCCTCAGTGCCTTAGTCTGGCGCCTTAGACCGCTCGGCCATCTCACCATGTCTCCTTGTGATTCCGGTGGCTTTCGTGAAGCAACGGAAATACCGCCACTCAGACTTTACTCTCGTTACTGTAACTACGTTCAAGGCAGTTCGTAAGACCACTAAAAAGCTACATCATAAAAGAGGAGACGGATGGTTAGGGAGACGGCGCAATAAGATGGGGCTAGCGGGACCTTCCTAAGGTTTGAACGTTTGAACCTCCACCTCGACCCGCTCTGCACCGCTCTCTTTGGTCAGCCACTCTTATTCAGCTTGATTGGGGATCCCACTTCGGTCAGGGACTTTGGTCCCGAGCCTAGGCCAATTCCTGTGGCCAGTTTTCGCTGTTTTGCAGGAGGTTGCGGCAGGTTCCAGTCCGAATGGAAGGTGAGAGGCTTTGTTAGGAACCAGGCCAAGGGGCAGAAGGCCGGAGTTGAGCCAGAGTTTGGGAACGGAGTTCTGGCTTCGAACCTGGGGTGGGGAGGACTTCGGCAAAGTTATTAGCAATGCCATGAGCTACTCGCCTGGTGTCCTCTATTTGCGGGAGAAGGACTGCGCAACTGAGAGGGCAAGTTTGGACTTCGGAATTTGGCTGTATTGCGGATTGAGTAAAGAGTACGGAATAGTAAATGAGAGCAGGGAATGGTTAACGAGACAGTCAATGAGGGGGTTTAACGAGATATCCGAACTGAGGAATGCAGAAATTCCGGGTGGACTCAAATACTGCGAAGGTGTAACTTCGGAAAAGGGGTGGAAGTCCAGAGCTGATCAATCTCCAGACAGACATGCGGTAAGTCCAATATCCAGAGGTCAGAGTACTGGAGCTACTGATATCCGGAGATCGGGGTGGATCAGTCCCGAGTGAAACCTAGTGTTACAAGAATATCTGAAACTAATTGGAGAGACGGGAGTAGGGAATGACCGAAGGAGCATAAAGCGTACTATTGGGAGGAACAAAGGACTGAGGTCCGATGACCGGAGTTGCGTGGAGTTGAGGATCGGGGTTCAGAGAATGTTCGGAGGTGGTACTTTTGCACATGGTGGTAACAGCCGGTAAGAAATGTGCATAGGATGTCCTTGAGGTGGGGGAGCTCAGGTGCTAATGTCAGGACAGCATCAATGACCTCGGGCCGCTGCCATTCTTCCCCACTGAGTGCTGCCAACTTGAATGTCATCTCCAGAGACAGCAGGAGCTCAGGGTTGTCAATGAGGCCCTGTAAGTGGTCTTTGAGCTTCTGGTGGAATCGTCCCAGCTTCAAGCCATTCTGTAGCAGATATGTGGTCCGAAGATATGGATGGCTGATCACTTGCCCATAGATTGCAAGGACAGCAAGCTCGGTGAGGGTTGGTATTTCCTGCAGCCCTCTGTACACATTCTCCTCCATGTTATTGAAGTCAGGCTGCTCCTTTCAGTCCCGGACAACCTCAAGGAAGCGCAGATAGTGCATCCGGTGGATCAGAAGCTCAGCAGCAGCAGCACAGTGTGACCCATACTGTGTATTGCTGGTGTCGGGGAAGCAAAGAGACTGACCAACAGTCTCCTGAAAGTAGAATGCGTAAGTGTCATGGTGCCCCTTTTTATCATCCTTGTGGTTGAAGAGAGCTCCAGCGAAGCTTGTCAGTTTGACACCACCACGTGTGGACGACTTCAGGGCACAGAGCTCGGCTGCTGTCAAGTCATCTGTGGACAGGAGTGCAGAAGCTGTTGCGAGGACATCGAGGTCGACCTCCCAAAGGGTTGAGGCATTCTCCTTGTTTGCAAGAATGATAGGAGGCATGATGTGGAGCTCTCCCCATGCTGCAGCCATCACGGTACTTCTACCCTTGATGCAGTTGAGATCCTTGTGCATAGCACAGCCCAGGTGCAAGAAAAGGTCTAGCGGATGCCTCTCTTCAGCAGGTAAGCCCTCATATAGTGTCCATCCTAGATCCGTGGTAGCTCCACTGAAGCTTCCAATATAGGCAGCTGTCTGGGCTTCAGACGATAACATTTGCCATGCAGCAGTACCACCAGAGGCCTCAACGGCAGCTTGGGAAGCATCCACAATGAGCTTCTCAAGTGCAGACGTAGCAACACCATCCGCAGCTCCAAGATGGTTCCAGACCAAGAAGCAGTAAGTCATCTCCTTCTTTCAGCATGCAAGAAGGCCATGTGTATTCATTTGATCAGCTGCATGGTCACCACCCATCCCTGTCAGCTTGACAGCACAGTCTTCAATGCTAATGATCTTCTTCTCCCGGAGCGCTAGCGACAACTTGTTGAATGTCCCCGCAAGAGCTTGCAGGTGTGAGATCCACCCGTTCACCTGTGATTCACTAGTGTGATCGACAGAGGACACTACGCCTAGAAGGTGGGTTTAGACATGATCGGGCTCAAGCTTGTCGGGCACATGTATGTAGTGGGCCTCGATGTTGACACACCAGTTTGTTGTTGCATCTCCGCTGATAGTGAAATCTGATGATCTTCTCCATTAGCACATTGTTGACATATCAACATGCCAGGGAACTTACTCGGAGTGCTGTTTATCTCATAGGCAAGCTGAAGATCACTTGCATAATCACCCCCGAGGACAACCCAACAAACGGTATGAGAGTCCATCTTTCTGAGGACTCGCACACCTAATGAGCACCTGATGAGCTGCATTAGGTTTCTAACCTTTGTCTGTGCACATTCTGCATAAACAAGCAGCCGGGTGAGAGCACGAGCCCTGATGGTATGATGAAGTCTGAACCTTGAAGGCGTCCTGTGAGCTGCACAAGTAGGATCTTCAGTCAATGAGTGAAGACTATATTGCATATGTATGTACCTGTGAGCCGCACAAGTAGGACTACAAGTACTTAGTAAGTAATCTGCATAAGTACGCATAGAAGTCATAGTACTTACTCTTCAGTCAATGAGCGAAGACTGAAGAGCTGGGGCAGTGAATGTCCTCCTTATATACAAGTCCAGAGGACGCATGAGTAAGCAAAGAAAAAGAGAGCATGTGATTTACAGTACACTGAATAAGACAATGGTGCGAGGTGATGAT